GAGGAAGGAGCAGAAACAACGAGTATGAACTGACCACAGCCCCCATCCCCCTGCGCTGCTGGGGGGGCTGGAAGTAGAGAAATCAGGAGCAAATCTGAGCCTGGGAAGAAGGGAGGGGTGGGGGGAAGGTGTTTTTAAGATGTGGTTGTATTTCTCACTGTCCTACTCTGTTTGGTTAGTGGTGGTGAAATTAAATTGAATTTCTTTCTCTTCCCCAATTAAGTCTGTCTTTTGCCCCTGACCATAGTGGGTGACTCATCCCTCTCTGTCCTTGTCTCAATCCCCAGCCTTTGGTTTTCTTTTCTCCTCCCCATTCCTGAGGGGGAAGGAGGGAGTGAGCAGCTGCTGGTGCTCAGTTGCCATCTGGGCTTAAACCACGATACCCTAGATAACATAACAACTGAATTCTGAAGCAGCCATATTAACAATCCTATATTGCTAGTAAAGTGGCCAGTTTCATCCACTAGTCTTGTCTGTCTTTCTCTCTCTGCTCCCTTGTTTTAAGTGGCTGTATTAGTGTTGCTCTTCTCAGAGACAGTAATGGAGAGAGAACATGTAGATAACCCCAAGAGAGAGTACTGAAGTAGGCACAGCTGAATCCTCAGTGCCCTGAGCTCACCTGTACTTACATCAGCAGGAGTTATTGAGTATACGGCACTCTGCAGGATGAGACCTGTTGTAAATGCTGCCCTCATACCTACCCTGGGAGTTACACATTTCCTTTACCTGATGAGCAGGGCTGAGGCCCACTGAACAGAGATGACAGCTGGCTTGCTCTCATCTCTGTTAATGGAAACTGCATTTTAGTCTTATCACACTTCAAGACACTGGCCTGTGCCTTTCAGTCAAACAAGGTGTAAATTTATTAAATGTTTATTAGTAACAACTCGGAAGTTGTTGTTACCATCACCTGTGAAGAAAACAGTTGTCTGAATCATTTGAAATATCAACTGAAAATGCCTTCATGTTGTCTTGAGCTTAGGGGAAAATTGTGCTGATATTTCTTGAGCTGTCAATGAGGTAGTAACGAGGGGAAGATAGTGGGAAGTCAGGCTTGCTTAGAAAACTTGCATTCAAAGTTGTCCTGGTTTTGGCTGGGATAGAGTTAATTTTCATCCTGGAGCTAGTATAGTGCTGTGTTTTGGTTTTAGGATGAGAATAATGCTCATAACATTGAGTAATGTTTTAGTTGTTACTGAGCAGTGCTTACACTAAGTCATGGACTTTTCAGTGTCTTATCCTCCCTGACAGTGTGGAGGCCAGGGGTGTACAAGAAGCTGGGAGGGGACACACTGGGACAGCTGTCCCCAGCTGGCCAAAGGGATATCCCAGACCATACGGTGTCATGCTGAACGATGAAACTGCGGGGAGTTGACTGGGAGGTCATGGCCCACTGCTTGGGGACTGGCTGGGCATCGGTCAGCGGGTGATGAGCAGTTACACTGTGCATCACTTGTTTTGTGTATTCTTTTATCATTATTATTTTTCCCTTCCTTTTCTGTCCTATTAAATTATCTTTATCTCAATCCATGAGTTTTACTTTTTTTCCTGGTTCTGTCCCCCATCCCATTGTGGGGAAGTGAGCAAACAGCAGTGTGGTGTTTAACTGCCTGTGGGGTTAAACCACAACAAAAGTGAAAGAAAGACCATACATGTGTTCAGATTCTTTTTTGTGGTTGTGAGATTTAGGAATAAAATCCTTCTTAAAAGACTAGGTGAAGTAACACAATTGTTTGTTTAACCTATCCTACCAATTGTTAGGCAGAGAAAATGAGGGAAATACAATATCCAAGAAGCTCATAATTGTTGCAATATACTATTGTAAGTGTGAGAAAATTATGCAAGTACAGAATCTAATCTAGAGAAAAAATGATACACGATTTCCCCACCAAATAAAAAATTTTCACAAGACAGGAGTGGCTGGGCCCATGGGAGCAGATGTCACATATAAGTCTTGTCAATCCTCAGTTAGAGGGCAACTTGGATGCAAGGTATCTTATGGTCTTCACACATTAAAGTCACAAGTTGTATTTTTCTGGTGACTTTAGGCTGACATAATTATATATGGCTGCATCCAATGATAGCAAGACAGATCAGTAATTTCAATTTCATGCTCTTTTCTTGGCACGCTTCAGAGGCAGTGAAAGAGAAAAGCGGGCAGGGGGGGCTTTGCTTTGATTTGTCTATTGTCTGTGAAGTGCAAACAGCTTTATTTCAGAAGTAGTTTCTTTCCTATTTATTCCAGGATCTTGTCTTCCAACTGTTTATCTGCTTTGAGATAGAAGAGATGTATAAACACACAACTGTGTCCATGGGTGCTGAGGCTTTTCTCAAGAACCCTTCCCAGGAAGGAGCTGTAATTTGACATTTGAAATTCTCAGTGTAATCTCATGGAAATTAAAGACATGAGGACTGTTGTCTAATCAGCAGCCTAGCTGAGGATCACTGCCACATGTCTACACAGTTCTCAAGCCCATGATTGTCTGGTTGAGAAGAGAGGGCTACATCAAGGCACCTGTCCATTTTAAACTTCCCCACTTCTGCTCCAACTGAGTCCTTCAGACTCAATTTTTACAGAAAAAAACAGTAACACACAAAGAGAAGTAGTCCTATAAATCCTAACAAAATACACACACTGTGGGTTGGGAGGAAATTAAACTATATTGAACAGGTGGTGAGAGCAGAGGCCTGGCCTCTCAGAGGCACTGAGAAGTCAAAGACTCATAGAACCAGAAAGTAGAAGTGGCACAATCTGCATGTTGTTTGCCCTGTTAGTACTTCTTCCCTGGGCACCGTGGGAAGTTCAGTGAGCTCATGAATTTCAGGTTTACTAGAGGTCAGCTCGAGGCCTCCCTTGTCTGTTAGGCAGAGGGCTTCGATAGACATAGCTGGAGTTGAAGCTGCTGTGTTCTCTCCCTCCTCAGGGGAACTCCATCCCAGAGTACATCGGGTAGAGTGGAGTAGCCCAACAGGCTGATCCTGACACCAGCTCTTCCCATTAGCAGCACTGGGGACACATGGTCAGTCCTGGGCACAGTCCAGGAATGGTGGTTGATTTTAATTGGTGCCCTTCATACCTAGAATTTTTTTTCATTTCTCACAAGGTATGGAGGCAACTGTGGGGCCTCTGATACTGCTTTAATTGCAAAATTTTGTATATTATCCATTAAAAACAAATAATGAATTTAGGAGGGGTCATAGCATGAATATCCTGATTGTAGCTAATGTTTGGAATGATAGATGGACTGTGAGGGATCTCTGCCCTAATTTTTTTGTAATTTGATTCGTAATTATCCTTGGGGACAGTTGGGCATCTTCATTACTTTGTTCCTACTTGCCTGAGCAGTTTTTATCTTAGTTTATTGCCATCTGTAAATTTGTGTTCAGAACACTGTTGAAGAGGCAGTGCTGATACTGCGGAACAGCTGCTGCTGTACTCACTGCTGTGAGCCAACTGCGCACAGTTTATGGTGCTTGATCATTATGTGAAACACTAGTCTGTGCTGCTCTAATGCTGGTCATTTCTGTCCTGGTGATAGTGGGATTTGTCATTATTAAAAGATCTTAATTACATGTTTCACTGATTGCACGCAGCAAAGGACACATTGCTCTGCTGGTTACGTGACTCATGTTGCCATTTTAGTGCAATTTGGTCAGTTTTAATGGTGTGAAAGTGATTTTTGGACTTGGTTTGGAGCACTGAATCCTCCTCCTCCTCCATTCAATTTGCATTTTCCTTCTTCTGTCAAGAAGAAATACCAATCTTATTGAGACTCATTTTTGGAGATAACCCTAATGCCTTCCTTTTTCTGATATACCCTCTATGTTTTAGAGTCTAGAATCAGAAAATCTGTGACATATCCTTTGATGTGATTTTGAATTTGGTTTCCTGTATGAGGACTCACACTTCCTCTGTGACACAGTACCCTGGTGAAGGTGACACAGAACTCAGGCTGGGGGACCCTGTATTCTAGTTTAATGGCTGCCATGCACCTGTGGGTTTGGTTTTGTTTTTTTTTACAAATGTCTTTCATTTTTTCATTATCTCTGGTTTTAGATTTTGAAATGTGCTGATCATTCTTGTGACGGCTGTTATCAAAACCTGGTTAAAGAGGCATCCAGCATTAGGGTTAAAGGCTGCCATTTATATAGCTTCTCATTCTATATATTAATGGACTGAGTCTGGAATCAGCTAAATAGCTTTGTTGGGTACATTTGTAGAATTTCTGACAATAGCTGTACCTGAAGCTGACAGACAGCAAGTACTATTTTTACCTCAGGAAAGCTTGCTGTGATTTCATTTTCTACTTTAAACTCAAGAAATATCCAGTCTTCTTTCTGATGGTTAAAGAAAATAAGACTGAGACTCTCCCAGGGTAACTGTCTGGAACAAAGAGATTTCCTAATCCTGACAATGTGGTTTTGATCTTTCTGCTCTCAGACACTGACTTGGATGTGCTCTGATAACTGATATGTGTAGTGCTCCTGGTATAAGCCTTCTGGAAAATGAGATCAAAGACTTCATTTACCTTTGACTCAGGCTTTGGTATGGGTAGTATCCAGTTATTTAAGTGCAAAACTGTTCTGCATATATTCATATCACATTTCTGTAATTTGGACAGTAACAATTACTTTTCAGATTTATCTCATAAACATCATCCTCAGATTTGAAGATGGATTCATTAGAATTTTTAGATCTACTATCAAGGAATGGTATCCATTTGACTTATTCGAATGTGAAATGTGTCTTGGTATTGGGCTATGACAGACATGGCCAAAAGTCAAATTTTGGCTGCTGCATAATCACATATTAAAATGAAAAAAAATATTAAGAAACAGAAAGACTTCAGGTCCATCAATAAGTGAAATACTGAGTATAACTTCCAAAGACATTAGGGTGTATTAAATTGTGTTCCTAAGTCCCTTTTCTAATAATAATTCATGCTGCCCTGATGCTGTGGGAAATCATTGCTAAGTCATTCTTTTCTATTTATCTGTAGACCCCAGAGCCAGTTGAAAACTACATCAGTGAAGGAGAGTTTGAAGATGATTTGAGTTCTTCTACCCCAAGCACAATAGAGCTGGAGATACGTGGATCCAGCCAAGAAACAGATGAAGATTATTTTGAGACCCTCTCACATCAGAGTGGATCTTTGTCAGATGTAAAAACTGAGCCTTATGAGAGTGCATCAGACACAGAATCTGTTTCCAGTGATGTAACTGGGGAAACTTGCTTGGATTCAAACTGCCTTTCTATCGAAAAAAAAAAATTGTGCTGTACTCTTCCTAAAGCAAAGGCTGAAACAACCCTCTATGAACTTAAGTGCTCAAAGCAACCAGAATTTACCCAGCAGTTGCATTTAGAAGTGTCCTCCAACATAAAAGCAGCACCAAGCAAAACTGAATTGTGCATACAGTCTGTGAAGTCAGGAGGTGAAGAACTGGGTGATGAAGAGCTAACATTAACTAGAGATATTTCCAACACAGAGAACCAAGTCAGTGAAGAGGGCATTATATCACAGACAAATAGAAAATTTGTAACCATATTGCAAAATAAAGTGGAGTTTGAAAGCAGTGAAGCACAGCCCTGTACTAACTCAGTACCTACAGAAGATGATGTTACAAGACAGAAGGAACATCCTGCAGTATTAAGCGTTGCTTGTTTCAGAGCAAACTCAGAAAGTTGTTTGATTTTTCCTGAGGTAACGCAATTTTCCTTCCGGTCAGATGCAGCATCAAGCTGTAGTTTGCCAAATCTTCTTTTTGAAACAAACGGACCTAACAGTAAAAGTTACACTGAGACATCTGGCTGTAAGTGTGAATTAGATTCTATGTCCGGTATAAAATGCAGCAGGAGAAACTCAGTTGACAGTGAGGAAACTACAGGTAAAAGGATAAAACATGGAAGTACAGAGACCATGTTGACATCAGATTCATTCTTTTACCAGAGTTGCTTCAAACCAGAATTTCAGCCACCACTCACAAGGTCAGAGATTACGGAAAGTAAAACATGGCATAGTGTACCTGAAAATATCAGTGCTCAAAGCAAGACAGAATATGTGGGGAACTGTATTCATCTGGCAGACAAATTTAGACGGTCATGTTCCAGAATACATCTTCAAGGGCTGGATTTTGAATACACTTGGAAAAACTTAGGAAGGGTACCTGTAAGGCCTGAAAAGGCAGTAAAAATAGAGGGCAAATTTGGCGTTCAAAGTTCTCTTCTTAATACTGACATAGACTCAATTGAGTGTCAGCTTTCTCAACCAGCAGGCTCTTCCCAATGCATTGATTATTATTTGCACTCTAAATCAGAGACATGTGGCCTTAGCCCAGAAGCAGCAGGTACAGGTGCTGATAGCTTATCTTTCATGCAGATTGATGCTTGTGAGTGTAATCCAAAACAAAGGGAGACTTCATTTGCCCTGAACTGTGAGCCAGTGATCATAAATACTGAACAACTTATAAAAAGTGACCGGTACAAAGTTGAAAGAGATCTGGAAGCAGACAAATTCCCTTGTGATACTGATATTGAATCTGGCATTGCTGACACTGAGAACCTAGCAGCTTGTCATGTAGGTTCTCCTGGTGTTGTGGAAAATGGAGATTGTGATTGTTCTGTAAACTGTGTTTCCACTGATAGAATACAGCAGAAAGGTTTGAAGGAGAATGGCCTTGAATCTGAACTGTTAGGTATGGAGATCATGGTAGAGGAAAGATGCGTAGATGATTCTTCTAACCTTGACTTTGGTTGGAAAGTCCTGGAAACTACATTGCAACCAGGTGGCAGTAACACTGGGGCAGAGCACGAAGAGTCAATGCAGCAAACCGCAAGTTGCAAAACTGGTGCCTTAAGGAATGACTCTGAGCTAGTAACAAATGAACATCCTACTCATAAAGGAAAGAATGAAGACAGTGTCTTTGCTGTTGAAATCAATCCCAGATCAGATTATATAAGCCAGAGAAGGCATTTAATGACTCTTCCAGAGTTAAAGCCTGCCCTAATCATACTATCTGTAGAGCAGAAAGGATTACAGTCCAAGACACTGAATGATAACCTTCCTACTGAAGTGGTAACTGGAACATTGAGAGATGTAGTGAGCAAGGATTTGATGTCTTCTCATACTGTCAGCAAAGCTTATGATGAGCCAGAGAGAGTTCTGAGTGAAAGCTGTAGCTGTGAAGTACAAATTCTGGCCACACACCCTATTCCTTGTAACGCAGAGGTACTCCCTGGTAGGGATACAGCTGAACTAAAAACAGAAGTTTCACAAGAGAAAACAGATAAAACAGTTGCAGTTTCATCCTTAGGGTTCACCTGTAGTAATTCCACAGTAACAAGTGAAAAAGTGGAAATCAGGAGTGTTACTGTACCACTGGGCGATGATATACTTACTGCAGAAAGTCAGGCAGATCCATGTGAAGAAGCGTTTGTAAAATCACATAGCAGAAGTGATGTTATGATCTCTGAGAAAGAGCCCTGCAGAACAAAGACTGGTTTTGAATTAGAGACAGAACAGTTCAGAAAGTCATGGGCTGAAACAAGAGATGACCAGGTATCTAAGGAAAAGGAATTCATAGCACATCAAGGTAGAGAGGAAGCCTTCTATATAACTGATGCAGTAACACTGGAAACATGCAGTGTAAGTAATCTGTGTCAGGGAGATGGTGCTGATGTTGATCTTCAAGAGCCCATCATAACCTCTGAACAAGCGGTAGGCAGGCAAGGAAGTGGTTCGAAGGAACAGCTAGGTACTTGTGAAGAACCTTCTCCTAGCGAGGGAAAGGAGAGCTCTCCTGCAGAAGACACAGCTAGCTGTAGCAAAGACAGTACACTGAATCTAGATGTGTCTGATGTATTTAACGATTCTGTGAAAAGGGAGACCCATAACACCTGCATGCTGGGTCTAGATAATATAAGTACCTGCAGCATTAACAGTGAGGAAATGGATGAGAACTCATTCCACATCCTGGGAAGTAACAGCAGTCTCTATAAAGCTGTGCAAAAGCCAACAAAGAATGGGAACAGTGGGAAAGCTTCCAGGTTTTTAGTATTCTCAAAAATGACATCTTTCAGGAAAACTAAGCCTGCCACAGCAGAAAATCAGGGGAGTAGCAGCTTCTTTGGCAGCAAGGCAAAGATGGAAGAACTGGATGCTGGGAAAGAGGATGAGGACACTGAAAGTTTACAGTCTTTCAAAAGTTGTTCGTCTGGTTCAGCCTTCCACAGGAAAGAAAGCTATGCCTCTGAGTACTCTGATGATGATGATTTATTCTATGAGAGACCTGCAGGATTATTCAACAGAATGAGTCTGAGGAAGGCTTCTGGCTCTGGTCGGATACTGATGGAAGATACAGATACAAATTCAACTTCTCCCACACTGTCTGCTGTCAAATATGCAGATCGACAGGTTTCAGGTTCATCTGAAAACAATGACAGTGAACCTGTGGAATACTCTGGGATTAGAAAATCATTCCCTGAAAATGAATACAAAAGAAACAAAAACCCTGAGGGTAAGAAGTTCAGGACAAGGTTGGCCTTGGCACACAAATCCCTCTCAAGCTTTTTTGAATCCAAATCTCCAGAAAAGGAAAATACTGAGCAAAGCTCAAGAGTATCACTGAAAAATGAAAAGGAGAAAGCCAAACTTCGCCAGAGCGCCTGGAAAGCTTTTCTAAAAAGCAAGGAGGCAGATGGACTAAAAAGGCCTGTCTTAGCAAGTTTATCACCAACACAGGATAGTCTTAATGCAACTGGTGGCCATGTAATGAGAACAGCATCAGTAGAGCGACAGGACAGTTCCAATGGACACACATTTTTTAAAACAGAAACAGCTAATGGCTCCTCAGCAGATTGCAACTATTTTGATGCCTCTGTGGAGCCTGTTGTTGTCTCTTCTTCACCTGCAGGTATGTGGAGAAAACGAATACAGTCCCATGACTTGGGCATCAGATACTCACAGAGTTCAGACTGTGACGAACAACAGGAGGCTCTGAGCAACTGTTTAAATACTTCTCTAGAGGAATACTGGATGAAATCTCCATTTAGCCCCACTGACTTGCAGTTACCATTTAGTCAGTCAAGTCCATCATGTCCCCAGCTCTCAAATTCTGATGGGAAAGACATGCCTTGTAGGCCCATGAGTCCTAAACCGCAGAGTCCACGATCCACTTCTCAACACAAGAGCTTCCGTTATCCTGGGAGAATATGTGCCACATCGATGATCTCTCTTGGGAACAGCTCTGCAGTTGAAAGCAATTTGGAGGCTCCTGAGAGACCAAAGACACTGAAACCCAGAGGTAGTCTCTTACTTTCTGTACACTCGTTGGACAATGACTACCAGAGGGATGACAGTGGCATAAGCAGTCAATCCCAGATCAGCTTAAACACAGCTTCTTCCATTAGTGACATGTTCCGAGATGAGGTGAGTTGTTCTCTGGGAATGATCAGGTGGTGGTTTAGTTTGAATAGTCTTTTGTTTTAGTATGGTTTAGAAATTCCAGTAAATGTTTTAATGGCTTAATGAACACATTGGTTAGATGGGTGCATAAATATTCCTCTTTGTCTAAGGTAGCACTACTCCTGTTTCTGTTCAAGACTATATGAATTGATGCACTCTTTAAGGGAGGATTTATCACAAAAATCTAAAGGAATGGAGTCATCACAACAGCGCTAATGAATAATATGCCTCAGACAGATTACACAGACGTGGCCTTGTGTTCGAGTCCAGTTTTTAGCTGGGTCTTACCCCTCTTAAGATAAGGCAGAATTAAGACTTGTAACTGGTGTATAGTAAATAAGTTTCTCGAAGTGAAAGGCAACTTAAAAATCATTTCCCATTGCTAGCAGTTTCTTTTAAGAAGTAAAATCTTTTTCTTTAGACAATGAGTAGCTGTCTTTTAATGTAACATGAGTCTGTTGCAGGCACCCTAACTACCCTTTGATTGCCACTAGGAGTCCTTTTCTGCCTTTTCTACAGCAAACAGAAAACAACCCCATGGAGTCAGGGTATTCTTTTGATCTTGTATTCGAACTCTGGTAACACGTTAATTTCCTTGTGACTGGATCTCACAGAAAAGATTGTATCTTCAATAGGGATTTCTTGATTAGGTGAGGCCTTTAAAAGCAGAGACTTCCTCTGTCAGTAACTAATGCTGGAGAGAATTTCCCAGATTTGTAAGTGTCTGGGAGTTTAGGAGTCACTTTCAGTGGCTAAGCACAAACTATTGGCATGATGAGATTAATCTGTTAGCTGAGATCCCAGAACATGGCTTGATCATGTTACTTTTTCAGTATTGCTGATGATAATTTTTGAAATTAAGAAATTGGAAAAATAATTTTGTTGCACAGATTTTTGAAAGTGGCACTTGTGAGAGGGTATGAGATTCTGCATACCCCAAGCTGACATTTTTCAGAGAGTTCATGAATCTGGAACTACAGCTGAGAGCTGGTTGTGTTCAACTCAGATGAGCCCTTCCACAGCTTTTGCTGCTGCTGCTGCCATTTGTCTTTCACATCCCAGATTATATTAAAGTTTTAAGATACTTTCCAAAATGGTCTTAGACTACCCTTTCTCCCTATTTTTTTTTAATAGAAACCCCCATTTTTTTGTATAGAAACCAAAAAGGTTTGTTGGAACAGACCTTGGCAGGTCATCTAATCCCACCTCCTTCTTTAGACAGGACTAGTGGCAACACCAGACAGACAAAACCGTGACATTGTCTTGAAAACCTCCATTGCTGGAGATTTCACAGCCTGTCTGGGAAACATGTTCTCAAGGAAAATTTGTTTCCTAATGCCCAACCAGAACTTTCCAAGCTACAATTTCTGGTCATTGTCTTGTAGCATTCTCTGGCACTACTGAGAAGAGACTGGATCCATCATCCATGTAACTACAAAGTTGTTGCAGACTACTCTTATAGTGCCTTTAGTGCCCTCTTATCAACCTGAATAAACCCAGTTCCCTCAACTTCTCCTCACATATTCCCAATGAAAGTTTTTTGGTTGATTGGTTTGGGTATTTTAGCTAATGCTGCCTGGAATCTAAAGAAGCATGTGGGTGGCAGTCTAAGAAGTGAGGGCTGTAGTACTGGAACTGCTCTGGCCAGAAGGGGAAGAGATTTTGCTTCATTCCCTTCTATGCTCAGCTTTAATTGAAAATCTTTTTTCATGGGCATCAACTTAATTTACCAACTTAATAGCAGACACCACACTCTAAACAAGAGACTGCAGTCTTACACGAGTCTAGGAAAATGCAAGATACTTGGACTATGCACACTGTCCACAGATGAAGCCTCTCAGAGGGTGAATAAAATCATTGATCTGTAAATGATAACCCAAAAGAGCATCTAGAAGAGAGTGGAGAAATGAGGCATGTGTAAAGCCTTAAACAGGCAAGCCCTCATCCTATAATGTGACCATTAGGAGCAAATGAATAATTATTGAAATTGAATGCTAGATTAAATAATTTAAAGAAAACCATAAAAAATTTAAATGGCATCTAAGCCATATGAAACCAGTTTATTTTTTCTGATTCTTCAGGAGGCTGCAGAGTATGGTATCTGAAATTGAATATATGCAGCTATAGCCTAGAAATTGTAAATGTCCCAGCTTTCAGGACACAACATCTTATCTATCAAAGCAGATAGGGCTTTTATTTATTTCCATTTTCATGATACTCTGAAATGAAGTAGAACTGCACCCTGGCTTTTGTAAATGAAGTTGGTTTTTCAGGAATCTCTGAAAATACAACAGACCTTGGGCAAATCTAAACACTAAGGATGGTCTTAGGTTAATGCTGGATTTGAAGAAAAGTCCTTTTCTGTCCTATATCAGTAAAGAAAAGACATTATTACAAAACAAATGCATAATTGTGAAGTTCCTTGAGCTCACTTCCCAGTGTGCCCTCCACTATGGGGATATGTATATATTTCCCCAAGCTCCCAGGCAGGTATTTTACCAGTGGTATCAGCTTTATCTGTGTTATAGTGCTGTACCGAACTGCACCAGATCAGCTTACCCCTGATCCTGCTGGCTACCACACTGGTAAGTAACCTTTCTTGGCCTGATGAAGGACAGACCATTACCTGGTAACCGTTAACATTCTCCAAGTTACATACAGGACAAAGATTTTATGCTGAAAAGACAGAACAATTACCAGTTTGCTCATATGTCAGGGCCTTAATTACATGTTTAATTAATTTGTTTGTGGTATGATTTTACTTACATAATTGTGTTACCCAGCAGGCAAGAGCGAATTGTCCTAATATGTCCCATGTTTGGAATCTGTGCAAGTTCTCCTCCGCACTCCTCTCTAATATGATGGGTCTTGGCACCGAATACCAGCAGGATACATTTTCCTTTTTCATAGCATCTAGTAGATAAGAAACGTTTCTAGACTGTGGCATCTCCTACCAGTGGCAAAGAAGACTTGATCTGGGATTCTTGGTTAATTGAGAGTAGATAGAAAGTGCCTGCAGTAGTTTAAGGGTTGTTATATTTGGGTTCTTCAAATGAACTGTGAAGAAACTGGAGAGATACTGTTGTCAGGCCATAACATTTTCTTGGCATGAAGAGACTCCTGAGATCATACATTCCTCAGCGGAGTTATCTCCCACCTTAAATATTATTGATTCTAACACTGATGCTACCTAGAGTAGTAGTTAGATGCCTCAGGGCATGCTTGATTTCAAGTTGTTCCAGTACCAAAGCTGTAATTTTGTGCAACCATTCATTAAAAGCAAATGAGAGTGAAGTGCAAAGCTGTGCAATTCCTTGCTCTCAGCCCAACATGAAGCAAATAAAATGGATAGTGTAAAGAGCACATCAGGAAGCAGAGGGCTTAATATATCAGACCTGCAGGCATCTAGGAAGCCTTTTCACATTGTATAACTGAAGTACAGTTGGAAAAGCACAGACAGATAAGACTGGTCATTATTTTCAGAGACACTGTCTGTAAATAATAACATACAGACAGAGTGACCTAAATCCCAGTAGTAATGTTACTGTAATACGCCATCTAGAATGTGGGTGAAAAGGGCATTGTCCTGTGCAGAGGGAGTGTATATTGCACTCTCAAAGGATAGCAGAGCCGCTGCTCCAGGGTGCAGTACCCTATCAGGGAGAAGGCTGAGTGAGTGGACAGGCTGGTTTCAGCCAGCCAGTACTTGGGAAAGCATTTTCTTCTGACTAGTTCTTAGGCTAGATAACTAAGCTTTGCCATATTCTGTTCAAACTGATTTGAAGCAACCGCAATTTCCCGCCAACATACCCTGTGTTTTCACCTGCCGTTTGTAAAACAGGAGTCTAAACAGCAATGTCAAACACCACCTGAAAAGAGGCCAAATGAGAAATGGGTTCCCCATCGCAAAAGGAGGCCCCCCCAGGTTCCACCATCCCCACGCCCTATCTCCACCCTTGAGAACAAAGCCTGGAGGCTTTCCTTCCTTGCTCCAGATGAAAAAGCCAAGGAGATTCGAGAGAGGAGGAGGAAGAGACCTAAACCCCTCTATAGGTGCTTCAGCTTCGATGATGTTTGGATGGAGAGGAACCAAAAAAGGAAGCTAGAGAAGGAGACACAGTCAGAGAGAGTGATTCAATTGCAACACCTCCCAGAGGACCAGTTAAAAGTAAGAAACTATACAACGTCCTCCTCATTCTCTGGCACTGTCTTCCTCTCTGCTCCAGCTGCTTGTTTCTACTGTTATCCTGTTCTTGCACTTTGTCTGGTACCAGTTCTGTCTGCTTTTCTTTGGGCCTGGTAGTCCACAGAGACTGATTAAACACTAAACTGGTTTGTAAGTGATGATCTCTAAAGGTGGTGGGGTTTTAGTCACTCTAAGTGAGCAGTTCTTGCCGTGTGCCATGTGGGACAACAGAATGCAAGAACGTCAGATTGTTCTGTGAGCTGAAAGTTAGGGAGGGCAGGGAGCAAATCAAAGTTGCCTTAAATCAATATAAATTAAACTGATGAAATCTCATTCCGTGCCCTGTGGCATTGCTGTATAACTTTAACAAGGGACTTCTAAATTAGACTTCCTTTGTATCTGAGGCCAACTCCACACTTCCTACTGAGGCAAATTCCTGCTGTGAAGTGCTCGAGAGAACATTCCCATTGGAGTTTTAGCTATTAAGTATTCTCCTCTCCACCAGGGGAGACTTTTAGATCAGCATTATGATTGCTTGTGACAAACTTTGTGGCTGTGGTGACTCACACTGATGGCATCTGTTACTCTTGGATCCAGAGCTAAGGTCTGTTCCCTTCAGGGAGAGCCATGAATCTGTATCCAAGAGCCAAATTTAGCCTTCATACATAAAAAAGAACTGGTGAAAACCGACATGAGATAGAGGGACCATCTCATCCATCTCATGCAGCATCTGATGATAATATGGAGGAAGCTTCTGAGCAAGCTTGAAATCAAGTAGAAGATATTAAAATACAAGCTTTCCTTCAGGTTTTTCTGTTTTGGTCTGTTATCTGCATTCGTTTCTCTTTCTCTCTGTTCTGGTTGCCTGTTTCTGGTTGCTCTTGTATCAAAATGACAATGTTTAAGGGGAGCTGGGGCCCCAGTCCTGTCACCACTTCAGCACATGCTTGAGATTATGTGCACAAGCAGTTCTGTAGATGACAAAGGGGAAACGTTCACCGGATGCACCTCAGCTTGTCTGCTATGACTTGTGAGTAAACCTGCTGCCTCATACCTGTCTGCCTGGGAGAGCCTCCCATCAAAGTTGACAGACACCTGGTACAAGAAAGCCAGGCTAATTCCAGTAACAGGGTTTCTGAAAAACTGTCCACTGTTCTCCATTCCTCAAGAAAAGGGGCAAAAACTGTGCTATTTCGCATTTGTAGGGCTCTTCAAAATAAAATATTGCCAGTTGATGCTTGGATGAGTTCTGGGTATGAATCTGATATGTTGCCTACGCTCAGTTCAGTGAGGAGGATTCCTTGGCTCAGCCCCACTACTAGCTATGTGTTGAATACAACAAGTAAGGCTCCTGAGGCATGTGTATGTTAAGATTTAAAAATTTTTTAAAGAAATTGTGTTACTTTTCTACCTTGTTCAGAGTTCTGAGTGCTTTGAGCTGTACAGGCATGAAACAAGCTAGAAAAAAATGAATCTTTGGCTTACATAGGCTCAGTGATAAACAGAAGCCAGTAAAACCTGCTAAAAATATTTCTTACAATTTCTTGACAAGCATGGATAGCAAAGGAAAACTAGTCTATGCTACAGGGTATGTTGGCCAGCACTGAGACCATTAGTGCTTCTGAGAGGAGTGACCAGTTACCTCAACAGCTTCCCCTAGAGCCATCAGACTACACAGCTTGAATGCTGTCTGCTTTACTCGTTGACTGCACATTTTGATACTGCCAGAAAAAAATGCTTCTCTTTTAAGCATTTCCACCCTTATTATCTGGTGCAAACTTACTTCCAAATTGTGATCAGCTGTGTGATGATTTGCAGCTGCCCCTGTACCCACTGAGGTACCCTCACTTAACATCACCTGCCTGGGGGGCTTAGGGGCTTCAGTCAGTTTTCTGGTTTATTCTGCTTTGGGTGGTAGAGGTGAGTAGCAGATATTTAGTGGCATGTAGGTAGATTTGGTTTTTACTCTTTCTATTTATTTGTGTTATGAGTTTACTGACAATTTTTATCTTTGTAAGCAGGCCAAGAGAGCAGAGTGCTGAGAGTTATTGAGAGAACTGTTGGGATTCAAGAGCTGTATCTTCTAAATTCATATAACTGCATTTCTTAGCCTGTATTTTTCATTTACAATAGTCATCACGTAGTTTCTTTTTCCTATTGTTTTATTCTGTCTTTGTGATGTTCTATTCCTGTAATAATGCTGGCTTATTCATGCTCCCAAGTGTGGTGGGAGTGCTGTCATAAGCTGCAGTGTTTGAGGGCAGTTTTAGAAGGATGCTAAATCCCTTTTTATAAAGAGAAATAAATTATCTCAAAAGAAGCTTTGTAAGATGTTCATTGTCTGTTGTGGTTTTGTGACTGGAACAAGGCAACTGTATGGGGCTTTGGAGATCTGAAATTGCAAGTATGATGTTTTGTGACACATGGCTGCCTTGGGATGTGTGGCTTCAGTTATGACAAATTGTATTGTGTTAAGTCAAGATCAGGTCAGCATACAAGGTGATATAATGCTGCAATATTGTGAAAACAACTTAATAGGTCAGATGAGGGAGGAATTCTTGATTTTTCACGTGATGATTTCTGATACTACTCTATCACTCGGATCAACGTACACAAATGAGTACAGTGGTAATAAAGCTATTCTGAAGGCTGGCAGTTGGGATTCAGAGGGAGATGGACAGTCAAGAAACTACCTTTAAAAAAAATAACCGCTTTAATTACCAGTTCTAAACAATTCTGGTCTTTGTTTTGCTTAGATCTAGTAAGCTGCTCATCTGCTTTAATTGGGAACAGTCCGTGTAAATTCCCAGAGTCAAACTGAATGCTTCTAGTAACAAGCTGAGCAGCTTCTGATCTTGTACCTTTAAAATGTTGGCATTTATCGGGTCATGGCAAGTCTTTGAAGGCAGCACCCCCTGAAGTAGAAGAAGAGAAACTCACATGCCTGTGGATGAATCTATTTTCTTTTTCTTGGTCATAGGCTTTGTTCTTCACATGGTGATGGGTTCCACGGTGTAGCCTGGGATCCTCTTACTTATTTTTAATGCAGTATAAATTCCTTAGCCAGAGCAGAGTCAGTGCTCCAAGCTACTGATACATGTAATGATTATGGGCTCTGTTTTGGGAATTATTTTTGTAATAATTGTTTTAGTGATGTCTCTGAACTGCGTGTCTGCTCCCATCCTGCTCTGATTTTGACAAAAATTTTAAACCTGACTATTAAGCTTGATGCCTCTCCAGTGCACAGCTATAGAAGTAGAGACATAGCTTCTACATGCATTTGTTAGACCAGTTTCTGCACTACCAAATTAGAGAGATTCCTAAAAGGCTCATTAGGGGACTATACCCAGAGGGGGTATAGTGCAGATAAAGCACTCCAGTTTGGAAGAGAAATGCGAAACAGTGAAAAATAGATCTTTAGCTTATTACCCTGAATATGACTCCTGGAAATCTGATTTTACCCCATCTGAAATAAGTGAAAATTAAGTTTTGCATGTGCTACCATGGTTATGAGTACTGTGAGCACCTCAGATACAATTCAAGACGGTGGTGAACGCACTTTGGAGAGGGGATTGAATGAGATAAGTCTGCCCCTGTTGTGCACCTGACAAGGCACAGACACACAACAGGGGTAAATGCCTCTCCCAAGGACTGAACTGCTGTGCCTAAGAGCATAGAAATGACCCCCCTGAACCTACAGCAGAAAATGTAGAAGAGAGAGTCTTTATTATGCTCTTGTTCCTTATTTCCCCTCCCCTCCCTTGTAGGTTACCCACATATTACTAACGTCTCTGAAAATGCTGCTTCTCCTCACTTTGGGTTGTGCAGGCCTGGCTCCCATGCTATAGAAATCGAGTAATGCCTGTACCTGAAATTTGCCCTGATATCCTGGGGATTAATAAGAATGAAGCCTTCAGTTTTTATTTTAGCAGCCCTAAGGCAGTGTTCTGCTTCCTAGTCTTAAACAGAAGAATAACATTTTCTATCACCCTTCATGTAAATAACCTAGACTTTACCCTTGGCATTTGCAGAGCTGTAGCCCAGCAAGTTGCCTGTTCTGCTTGATTCCATTGTCACTGGAAGAGCGTGTGCTCCCACTGGGGCTTTGCTATGACTTTTCTAGAGAAAAAGGCACTGCTCAGGTTAATTTGAACAGGGTTCATACTATCCCTCAGGAGATGGTGATTTGTGCCAAAGTATTGGCTGTGTTCTCTTTGTTTTAGGAAAGTAAGTCTGGGAAGAATAAAGCAAACCAGGCACAGAGCAGCAGCAGCACTCTCAGCTGCTTGGGCAGTGCGTGGCAATTCCGTGGGCTTAGTTTGCTGTTTAGTTTTGGCAGGATGTTTTGACTAATTACCACCTTCTAAAGAAGAGGCTTCAGCATCAAGGCTAGTCAGCAGCTTTATGCTGACGGGACATAGTGTAGCCCGATAGGGAGAAGGAAAGATCCTAAATAAACTACTGGACCTCAATATACTAAACTCTTGGTTCAGTGAAGGATGGGTATGTTGCGCAACAAATAGAAGGGACAGCAGCAATGCAGAGATAAAAAATGGCTATGCCCATGGGACCAATGCTTACTGACCAGCCGATCTCCCAGCTACCTGCAGTCACTGATACTTTCTGTGTGTGCCAGACACAGGAGGTATGGGGGAGAAAAGGGAGAGAAGGAAAAAGGAATAAAAGCTGATCTTCATTATGAGTAAAGTACTACAAGTTTCTGTGACTTTGACTGCAGTCTGTATTGCTCATTGTCAAATTCTTGTAGTGTGTTGCCCAGTATCTTGTGATTCCCTGATGAAGTAGCAGCAAAATGTTGGTCTCATTTCCCTATATCAAGCAGACATTATTTCTGTTTCAGGGTAGATGAAAGGAGACAGAAAACACTGAAAGTTTGTTAGTGTTACAAGATTGGAGAAAATAATGGGCTTGACACAGAAAAGGAGAACAACTTTGCTTATGTTTTGGATTCTGTTAATTATTTTTTTTAAACACTTTAAGTTAATGTCTACATGAGAGAGGGATAGTCTGTGGGTGGATGGACTATCTTTATGGCAGTGGTTTGTATGATTGTGCAACTTCTTAAGCGAACAAAAAGACCTTGTATTTTTGTTTATTTTAAGCCTGATCTACTGAGGCATTAGAGGTCACGTGTGTACATCTCGATACGTTCTCCCTCTTAAATCATCAAAAGTTAATTCAGTGAGACCTAGCAATGGTATGGAGTTTTCAAAGTTTCATAAAGTTCTAAAAGTTTTGTAAAATCAATCAGCCAGGTAGAGGAGAGAGCAAGAGATCCTATTTGTACCCTTAACCGAAGAGAAGAATATTGTGTTATCCATGTCCTATATGGCTGGGGACTGGTACCAATAAATCTCTGAAGGGAAAAGCTTTATTTACATGTTAAATGCCAGAACAGGAGTTATTAGTCATACAATTGTAGGAAACAGTTCTGTAGCTGAGGGGGTGTCTTGTTGGGGTGATACGCTTCCCCCTCCCACTAGATACACTTCACAGGAAGGACTGAAACTTTCTGTGAATGTAGATATGTGTGGTAGTATGTGAAGTATGAGTCCAGTACCTGGTTATCCACTTCTCCTGTTCTTATTATCTTGCAGTTTTTCCTACCTTCTTCACTGTTTTCTAACCTCTCTAGCCACAATCATCCTCATATGTCTACTAATGTACTACTTACGTGAGTACACATCAGAGGTGGAAAAAGGTGCTTCGTGATGAATGCTGTATTTTGTCCTACAGGGCATCTAAGTTTAATGTATGTTTGTCTTGGTTTTCCCTTTCTTGTTGCAGGCTGCAGTAAGTTCATCCATCACATCTGCTATTGCCTTTGACATCCTACCACTGAAACTGCATCCATTTTCCCAGAGCACTCCAACAGGCTTAGACTGCGTGGGCTGGAAACGGCGCATCTCCTCTCCTGGTGTGTACACAAGTCTTAGTTGGACATGAATAATGAGAGAATTAAGCTCTGCTTTACTGAGTATGGAAATTATGTGATAAGCATTCTGAAATATTTATTTATGATAAATGCTGCATCCACGTCTGAGCAGAAATCTACTTTAGAGTTAATTCTTTCATGCACTTTTTATATTCAGGTTTGTTTTCTCCCTGAGAGAGTAACTAGGGTGCTGTTTAAAGGCAGCGATCAGCTTTTTAGTGAAGAAAAGATAACTAATGGCAATGATAGTGTGCTTGATGTGAAAACATTTTGTTGTCTCATGAGAACTGTCTCACCTAGGATGATGTCATACATATCGTACTCTTGAATTAGGTTTAACTGCAGATGAAACAGGCTCTGCCTTGTATTTGCTGGAGAGCACTATAGTAGATATAGTGAGGTTCCTCTCAAGTTACTAATTAGATGCTAAAGCAACTAAATGAGCCTCTTGAGGTAGAAGTTTCCTGTACTTTAAATAAATCATCTTAAAGAACAAGTATGCTGTATTTTCCTGAGGAACGTGCATGAAGTATCATGTCTGTTTCATTTCCAATGACTGACACTTTCTCAGAATTAAAATGTAAGTTGCACAGATTATTAAACAGTGAGACGTATCTTTGCCAGGTTTTTTAATTCTCCATCTGACAGCGCCTGCCCAAATGCTGCAGATATCTCTATCATAGCACTTTGGGGTAGGATAAGAAAAGCAGACTGGAGAGGAGTTGTTTGGCGGTTAGGAATCTAGCCAGGAAAAGGCAACCACAGTTGGGTGCCAAGCTGCCATTTCTGCCTCAAAGTCTCTTTGTACCATCAATTAAACAGTACGGGAATTACCTAATTAAGGGACCATAACATTGTGCTAATTATGTCAGAGTTGAATGGTCATAATATTTTGTCAAGCAAAACTGGTTTGCTTTCTGACACTTTGTACAACTCCTGCGCAGTCATGACATTTGATCTGGAAATAAGAAAACAAACTACTTATCATGGTATCAAGAGCCCTGCCTTTGCTCTCCCAGCACCTGAGGGTTTTGATCACTTGCTGTCACAAGCATCTGGTGTTGCCCCAACATTTAAGAACAGCTCCCTGGCTGAATAAAAAAGCTGCAGCTTTACTCCTTGGTAATCCCAGATGGAAACCTGTCATTGTCCTGTCTGTGCATCTCTGACATTAGCTGAAATCCCTAAGCGCTACTGTCATAGAAGTAAATTCTGAGTCACAGCTGATACAAATTTCATGGTAGATCCCAACTGGGACCTGAGGGAGTCAAAAAATATGTATGAATTTCAGAGGGTGAATAGGAGTAAATGTAGACTGACCAGTTGGTAGTGCTGTAGGTGTTTATATGCTGTCTAAAATGGGGCATGAACCCTCAGTCATCTACAGTTTGCACAATGTTCCTGAGGTAGGTACAAGTGAATTTCATACTATAACCTAATCCTGGACTTCAAGAATTTCTATGTAAATGTAGCAAAACAAATGGAAAAAGGGTTCTGCTGTATTTCACCACCAAAAACATGCTAGTGGGGAGAAAATGGATGAACAGAAGAAGTGTTATAATACCTCTACCACAGCCATCTCTATTAGCTGCTGCTTGTGGGCTTCAGGTGAAGTATTTTGGGCATAAAGAGCGAGTACACGTGTCTTCCTGTGGTAGGACGTGGTTGGAAAGAAAACTCTGAAGTACTGAAGCAATACTTGTAAATTGTTGGATCAGTTTTAGGATTGGGAATGTCCCTGAGGCACCAGTAGTTCAGCAGAATGCCCTCTTTGATTCTTGCACAGGTTTGTTGTGATACCTGTTACTTTTTACAGAGCTGTATGTCACTTAAAATAAATATAAAATTAAAGTATGTATCCATTTAATCTAATTTTAAGGTTTCTAACTCTAAAGCTGCAACTACTTGTTTTAATGATCCTAGCATATGCTTGAGTTTTCATAGACACTGGATATGTAAGTACTGTGGTACTGTATACTTGCATGTTGAAAATATGGATAAAATTCTCACTCCCAAAGCCTGCATCTGATCACCTTGTGCAGGGATTGCTGCAGAGACTGGGTGGGGTTGGAGGGGTGGAATGGGGTATTTTGGAGCCCTCTCCAGTTTTCAGGTATGAAAAGATGGCTGTCACGATCCCAGCCCAAAAGGTGTGATGCACAGCTATGAGACTTCTGTCATGAACTTACCTATTACCTGAGGACAAGATCTTAGCTGGGCACAAACTTACTTTTTTAGGTGAGTGCCCGTTTGCAGCTAGAACATACCACAAGTGCTGGAAGAGCTTAATTTTTAATACTGTATCTGCTGTGCTCGTTAGATTCCTCTGACCAGTCACTGGCACTAGAGCAATGAGACACTGTTCTATCTGCCTTTATGTCATGCTGGGAGAAATGAGGCAGGCTCAAACCTGTCATTTGGATACCCCAGCAGCTGGGATCAGTCATATCATGGTGCTCTTGGTCGCCGACCAGTTTTGCAGGCTGCCTTCCTGTCCTCTTCTGTCCAGAGCAGCCAGTTGATAAAACTGTAAAGAACCAGTAGATGGCTCCAACATCTGTGAAATAAAGAGCAGGTGAGGTGGTGCTAATCTCTGTATTCAGTGGAGACTGAATGAGTCTTGAGCCTTCTCCAGAGAAGTATAGAGTTTGAACACCCCCATCAGCACATGGGTACGCACACCAGAGGTTAATCTAACCAAAGTTAACCGTCCTGTTCAAACATTTGGAAGGACTTTTTTGGCTGCACCACTCACTTTGGCAGGAAGTACTGAAGAGTATCAAGCATCTTTCCCCTTCAGTTGTCTTTTTATGCTTATGTCTACACTTGTACCTTGCAGTATGTATCTGTTCCTTACTGCCTGGTTTACTACTGTGCTTGAATAAGGTGAGCTAGAGTGAAAGCATAGGAAACAAGTCACTCCCTAATGCAGATATGGGAATCTTTTCCTGCCTTTTGTCAGCCTCTGAAGATCTTGAGAGACCATTTGGCCCAGGAATCACCCTGGGAAAAGGGTGAGAGGGAAGGGCCCAAAACGTACTGGAAGGATAAGAAGGCTTTGGGTTAAAGCAGTGGACCAGCATTTTTGTCTTTAAGCTATCTTACATATCCTCTCCTTCCCCATCTTTCTCCTGAGTCTGATATCTGTTTATTTGTAACCTGAAGACATTGCCTAAAATTGGGGTTGTTGCTGGGAAGCTGTTTGATGGACAGTGGATGCAGCTGTGAGAATGTAACTACAATTGGGCTGAAGCTAGGAGATTAGCACTTCTGAGTGTGGGAGCTACTAGCCCAGAGGTCTAGAGCAGAGGGAATTTTCTGGAGAGGTACTGCTGTCTCTGAGCTTTTTCACGGGACTTTTCAGCAGGAGACGATCAAAAGGTGACGCAGTGACAGACTGACAGAGGTAATTGTCTGAGAGCTGGAGGTGTGCTGTCCCTTGAAATCCCTGCTCTTGCTGCTATCTGTGCTTTTCGGCTGGAGAATTTTCTGTTCCTGTGCCTGCCCTTGTTACCTTGTCCTCGATGTTTCTCCCATGCTATGTCTCAGAGAATCTGTGAAACTTTTGGACAAGGCCATATATATGACTGTAAACCCTCAGGGTTTGTCTATCCTCATAGAGGGAGAAACTTGTAACTAGTGTATTACAAGATCAGGTTTGTAGCTGTGCTGTAACAGATCTTAGACCTGTATTATTTAAAATCATTGTTTAAATGCAGACTGAAACTTTTTGGCAATTTTCCCCGTGTCTTGTCAGATTTAAACAGCCTGAGGTCTTTCAGCTTCCTGGTATTGGCTATCTACAAGGGATGCCCTGCAGTTCCACCGCAGTGCTGCTGTTGGTTATGCCAACCAAAGAAGTGTGGATTCGTTCTGACTGTTGTGTGCTGATGATGAACATACTGGTAGCCTTGGAAATCTTGCATAAGCAGTAAGAATAGGCAAGCCAAGTTCTCAAAGGCTGGAAAACAGTCTGTGGATAGTCTGGAAAACAGTGACCATTAAGTGATACTGAGCTATCCTCTGACCTCTCTGGTATAGCGGAAAGTATTTCTCAGAGGCAAAGGGATTGTTTGTTTACTCAACATCATGTGGTCAACTTTCATCTTCTTTTCCCAGCTATAGATGGGCTGTTAAGCTCACACTTGGCAACAGTTAATGTGAAGATGTTTGACAGCCACTGGAGAAATCTATTCAATAGGGAAAATATTAGCTTAATAACAAGATTTCATTTTGTCTTATAAATATTTAGCAGTCCTGTAGTTCAGCAAAATAACAAGCTGCGCTATTTATTCCATTTTTGTCATTTTAGTTGTTGAAGGGATGCAGAAAAAAGTGGTAGGCAAGCCCTCAGAATTGTAGCTGTAGCAAGAAATGTCCTTTCCATCCTCATTAACCCATGGAAATACTACTGAGTTTAAGTGGCTAAAAAGTAATTGTGTTGCCTGCTGTATTTTTTACTTTTCTCCGAATCACAGAAAGATTAGACCTGCTATTTCAGTCTTGATTCTGTTTAACCACAGCCACAAATATTTGTGCTCTGTGAGGTCTCTGATAACATGTGCTCACTCAAAGATTTTCATACAACCTTAAAAGGTGTAGGCCAAGTGATGGCTGAGTTCCTGAAAATTTGTCTTGGCAGGTTGAGTTGGATTGTGTGTATTAGCTATTGAGGTGAAAGATTTAGCATACCAATAAAAACTTTCCATGGGACAGAGAGTGAAAAAGAAGATCCTAGCAAACCCTTAGTGATTCTGGCATTTGCTGTTCAAAGCTACCAGACTACAGGAGAACCCCATAGAGACTAAAAAAATCCAACAAGTGTTCAGGATCAGGCTGTCCAGGGCTCAGGCTAGCTTGACTGACTACCTTCATCAGGTTGCACAGTGAGATCCTTCATCTGTAGTTGGAGTCAGTTGCTGCTATATCAACTTCAGCTAACTTCTGTCACTAGTGTCACAGAAGAAAATATCTTTGTAGGT